CCTCCACCATAAGTCTCCAAGCCTTAGTTAAAGTGCGTATAGAACCTGATGAAACCTGCTATCGTAGTAAATCCGTGCGATGTGGAAGGTGTCGAAGCGTTTCTACTGTCACTTGATCGAGGGCTGGAAACCATTCCTTTTGTGATCAAAACGGAGCTATCAGAATGTATGTGGTGCTTTGAGAGGTTTGTAGATTGTTGAGCACTTTCCTGACAAGAGGAAAAGGAGGGAAGGCATATAATTCCTGGTGGTTCCAGTTGCATAAGAACACTTCCGTTGCGATCGTTCTGGGATCTTGGAAAGGTTAGATGCAGCTTAACTAGCGCTCTGGCCGCCATTCGCTGGAAGGAGATAGAAGCGGTCTTATCTGCCATCTTGAGTGCTTCCTTTATCTTGTCTTCTTCAAAGAGCAAACTCGAATCTATAGAAGTTCGGTAGCCTGAAGTTCAGTCTTGTAACGAAAAGATCCACTGTTGGGCAACTCCACAACCTCCGCAGAAGGTTGCATATGTCCTGATGGAAGGTCCACTCTGTAGAAATGATCTAATTGCGTCTGCTGAGACAGTCCGTTAATGCAATGAAAGTCCCCTTGATAAACTGAGTGAGGATCTTGTTTTCCTCTGTCCTTTCTAAGATCTTTTTGAGCTTCTGTACTGAACGTTGTCGAATGCGTACCCCTTTCCTTGACCAGATACGATAGTCCTGTGGCATTGTCCGAGAACACAGCAACTGTCTTGCCTTGTAAAATCTATGTGAAGTGGAGGAGGCTTAGACGAATTGCTTCGAGTCCCAAGATATTGATGTGCAGGAATCTTTCTTTCATATTGTTGTCCCAAGATAAAGGAAAATCGTCTCCTTGTGACTGCCTGTCACACACCTTAGTAAGCTGTCTTTGGATGTTCGCCATCTCTTGTCTTGTCCTGGTATCATGTGGATGAGGGAGGACATGTGGCCTTACAGTACCATACATTCTTTGGCTGGTGGACGGTTGTTGCTGAGAAATGATTCTATATGGGAACGAAGATTTTCTAGTCTTTTCTATGTCGGAAAAACCTTCACAAGACGAGAATGAATTTTCATCAACTAAAAAGTCTTCATTTGAGTTGGGTTTATTGAAGATTTTTCTCAGTTTATTATTATCCCCAGTGTGGAGCACAGGCTCCTAAGAACGTTATTGCCTCGTGGGCTTCTTGTTGCGAGACAACTAGAATGAGACAGTCGTCTAAGTATCTTAGGAGGCAAATTCCCTGGCGATGTAAAGCCGCTGAAACCGGAGCCATCAATCTCGAGAAGAAATGTGGAGCTGTTGAGAGGCAGTAAGATCTAATATGGGTCCGTAACTTCCATGTGCTTTGATTACCACAAACAGGTAGCTGTAGAACCTTGGTGTCATTAGTATAGCTTCTATTGCACCTTTTTCTTTCAGTATCTGGACCTCTAAATGTAATGCCTTGCCTCTTTCGGAATCTGGAAATATGTCCCAGAAACTAATGGCTCCGAGGTGAGAGGAGGTAGGGTAGAGAAAGGAATCCTTTATCCTTTTTTGAGAACAGTGAGAACTCAGTCCTCTGCGCATATGTTCATCCACCCTATCTGGTTCCAGGCAAGGCATCTTGCTATACTGTCCACTGTTGTTCGCTGGCTCACTTGCGATAAAAATGCTAATAATCCTCTTGGAGGAAGTGGTAAGACCTGGTTTTGGCTTCTGTTGTGTTGTCCTTTGCTGTGAAGACAGGACCGGATAGTGGAAGGATGAGTTAGACCGATGATGAGGTATTGGAACCCTGTTCTAGCAATGGAGTGCAATGATCTAAACTGTCGTTACAATGCGCAACGAGCCGAAGGCGCTCGTTGACGGGGTTAAGACCTGTTTGCATGTCCTTTTTGCATTGGAATGGTAGCGTGGGAAAATTTAAGGTCTTATGGGAAAACTGACTTGATCATTTATAAAGAAACGGTTTATTATATTTGAATATTTTTAAATGAAAGGCAGGCATTGCTTTAAAGGATCGTTAAATAAAATCCACACAGGATAGAAGAAATATTCCCCTTTATTAAATAAACCTCATAGGTGTGCAATACTGCAGAACTTATCTTAGATGAGGGAATACAAAAGGGGCTGTCGATCCTTTCGTCTGCTCTGCTGCCTGTCCTCCGGCTTTTCCGAACGGCCTCCTCCGATCACGGTCGTTTCCGTCTCTCGTCTGTCTTCCGGCCTCTTCTGTCGCCAAGCTTCCCCCGACCTTGCCTTGCCTGCCCAGTGCCTGAGGCTGCTACCGAATTCCAGGCGAACGATCTCGGGCGATTGTTAAGAGGGCAAAGTGATGGGAGAAGAGGTCGTTTGTCGGGTCAACGCTGTGAGATCTGTCTAACTGCAATCTGTTTCGCTACAGGAGTACCTGGTGTATGACGCGGCTTAACTAGTACGCTGGCCGCCACCTGCTGGAAGGAGGCAGAAGCAATCTTATCTTGAATGTTTCCTTTACCTTGTCTTCTTCATAGAGTAAACCTGAATCTATAGAGGACTTCCTTTGGCCCACCTTAGATACAGACTTGTAAACTGGTGTGATAGTATGAATTCACGTCTCATGGCCTTAAATGTGCCTCTCATAAGCGCGCTAAGACTCCCTCTAACTGGGTCATGTATGCGTGCTAGACAATAATCTGGGGTTCTTTACCCCTGATGGCGAGGGCAAGGGCAATGTCAGTATTCAACTTGGCTGCTTGACCCAAGGTTTCATGGCCGCTAACTACATAGACTCAAGGTCTATATAAGTACTTATATAGACTTTGCACAGACCGTCCGGTATTTAGTTGACTGGTAGCGGGGTAACGAAGGTCTAGTAGTCTCACTGGCATGAATGAGTGCCTTGGTAGCCGGATTCATGAAAAAAAAAATGGCTGATCCCTGGTGAGTATAATGTATCTAGCGTTTTCCTGTCGCCTGTGTTCCCCAAGTGGGTCTGGACGGTTCACCTCATTATACCCTTGCCTCAGGGAAGCATTTAGTAATAAATGTTAGCATTTTGTTAAAATTTATATGAGTCCCTTCTGACTGACATATCCCTCATTTCTTGGCTCTATGCTGAAGAATTTCCGGGGTAATACTCTTCGGGCGTTACAGTGAATTGTGTGCCCCCTGTGTGACTGTGCAAAGGTGGGGCTAGGTGCTGTGCATGTATTGGGAGGTGAGTAGTGGTGACATTGCTCACGATAAACTCTTGTGAGTCGATGTTTGTTGCTTGGCACATCTCAGACTGTGCTGTAGTCGGACGGCAGACATCTGGTGCTGGTGATTTGTGTGTATAAGCAGCTGACTGTGTTATTGTTAAGTGACTACGTGTGGGAGGCTGTAACCTTTCTGTTCAAGACCCATGCTTGACTTGCCATGTCAACGTGGGTATTGGACTGGTGGAAATGAGCACTAGGAAAGGCTGAAGTGTGGCCTGACATTCCTGTGTTCTCCGTGGACTAAAGGAGGAGACTCTGTGTGACATACAATTCTCCTCCCTGTAGCTGTGTGGGCTTGACCATCTGTTTGGTCACCATTCCCGGGAATTGGATTCTCACGGCCTAACCCTAGTCCTGGGCCTGAGGATGAGGAACTGGGTCTCTGGACACCCGTCTGTCCCCATCCTGGTTACTTCCTGAAGAAAATCTTCGACCGGGTTCCTCCCACCTCAGGACGTAACCTTTTAGCCTTCCATGGAACGTTTAACCATAGAGGGAGGATCTAAAGAGGACGCATTTTGAGCTAAGCCTAAGCTCTCCTTGGACCTCACTTGCCCTCGGATACCCACCGCCGACACATCAGCAGACTGCAGACTCTACCTGATACCGAGATCGTGAGGGGGGAGGGGGTGGTGGTAAGGGTAAGGGTAAGGACGGTACTGCAAAAGAGGACTGGTTAGCAGGAAGAGGAAGAGGAAGAGGAAGAGGAAGAGGAAGAGGAAGAGGAAGAGGAAGAGGAAGAGGAAGAGGAAGAGGAAGAGGAAGAGGAAGAGGAAGAGGAAGAGGAAGAGGAAGAGGAAGAGGAAGAGGAAGAGGAAGAGGAAGAGGAAGAGGAAGAGGAAGAGGAAGAGGAAGAGGAAGAGGAAGAGGAAGAGGAAGAGGAAGAGGAAGAGGAAGAGGAAGAGGAAGAGGAAGAGGAAGAGGAAGAGGAAGAGGAAGAGGAAGAGGAAGAGGAAGAGGAAGAGGAAGAGGAAGAGGAAGAGGAAGAGGAAGAGGAAGAGGAAGAGGAAGAGGAAGAGGAAGAGGAAGAGGAAGAGGAAGAGGAAGAGGAAGAGGAAGAGGAAGAGGAAGAGGAAGAGGAAGAGGAAGAGGAAGAGGAAGAGGAAGAGGAAGAGGAAGAGGAAGAGGAAGAGGAAGAGGAAGAGGAAGAGGAAGAGGAAGAGGAAGAGGAAGAGGAAGAGGAAGAGGAAGAGGAAGAGGAAGAGGAAGAGGAAGAGGAAGAGGAAGAGGAAGAGGAAGAGGAAGAGGAAGAGGAAGAGGAAGAGGAAGAGGAAGAGGAAGAGGAAGAGGAAGAGGAAGAGGAAGAGGAAGAGGAAGAGGAAGAGGAAGAGGAAGAGGAAGAGGAAGAGGAAGAGGAAGAGGAAGAGGAAGAGGAAGAGGAAGAGGAAGAGGAAGAGGAAGAGGAAGAGGAAGAGGAAGAGGAAGAGGAAGAGGAAGAGGAAGAGGAAGAGGAAGAGGAAGAGGAAGAGGAAGAGGAAGAGGAAGAGGAAGAGGAAGAGGAAGAGGAAGAGGAAGAGGAAGAGGAAGAGGAAGAGGAAGAGGAAGAGGAAGAGGAAGAGGAAGAGGAAGAGGAAGAGGAAGAGGAAGAGGAAGAGGAAGAGGAAGAGGAAGAGGAAGAGGAAGAGGAAGAGGAAGAGGAAGAGGAAGAGGAAGAGGAAGAGGAAGAGGAAGAGGAAGAGGAAGAGGAAGAGGAAGAGGAAGAGGAAGAGGAAGAGGAAGAGGAAGAGGAAGAGGAAGAGGAAGAGGAAGAGGAAGAGGAAGAGGAAGAGGAAGAGGAAGAGGAAGAGGAAGAGGAAGAGGAAGAGGAAGAGGAAGAGGAAGAGGAAGAGGAAGAGGAAGAGGAAGAGGAAGAGGAAGAGGAAGAGGAAGAGGAAGAGGAAGAGGAAGAGGAAGAGGAAGAGGAAGAGGAAGAGGAAGAGGAAGAGGAAGAGGAAGAGGAAGAGGAAGAGGAAGAGGAAGAGGAAGAGGAAGAGGAAGAGGAAGAGGAAGAGGAAGAGGAAGAGGAAGAGGAAGAGGAAGAGGAAGAGGAAGAGGAAGAGGAAGAGGAAGAGGAAGAGGAAGAGGAAGAGGAAGAGGAAGAGGAAGAGGAAGAGGAAGAGGAAGAGGAAGAGGAAGAGGAAGAGGAAGAGGAAGAGGAAGAGGAAGAGGAAGAGGAAGAGGAAGAGGAAGAGGAAGAGGAAGAGGAAGAGGAAGAGGAAGAGGAAGAGGAAGAGGAAGAGGAAGAGGAAGAGGAAGAGGAAGAGGAAGAGGAAGAGGAAGAGGAAGAGGAAGAGGAAGAGGAAGAGGAAGAGGAAGAGGAAGAGGAAGAGGAAGAGGAAGAGGAAGAGGAAGAGGAAGAGGAAGAGGAAGAGGAAGAGGAAGAGGAAGAGGAAGAGGAAGAGGAAGAGGAAGAGGAAGAGGAAGAGGAAGAGGAAGAGGAAGAGGAAGAGGAAGAGGAAGAGGAAGAGGAAGAGGAAGAGGAAGAGGAAGAGGAAGAGGAAGAGGAAGAGGAAGAGGAAGAGGAAGAGGAAGAGGAAGAGGAAGAGGAAGAGGAAGAGGAAGAGGAAGAGGAAGAGGAAGAGGAAGAGGAAGAGGAAGAGGAAGAGGAAGAGGAAGAGGAAGAGGAAGAGGAAGAGGAAGAGGAAGAGGAAGAGGAAGAGGAAGAGGAAGAGGAAGAGGAAGAGGAAGAGGAAGAGGAAGAGGAAGAGGAAGAGGAAGAGGAAGAGGAAGAGGAAGAGGAAGAGGAAGAGGAAGAGGAAGAGGAAGAGGAAGAGGAAGAGGAAGAGGAAGAGGAAGAGGAAGAGGAAGAGGAAGAGGAAGAGGAAGAGGAAGAGGAAGAGGAAGAGGAAGAGGAAGAGGAAGAGGAAGAGGAAGAGGAAGAGGAAGAGGAAGAGGAAGAGGAAGAGGAAGAGGAAGAGGAAGAGGAAGAGGAAGAGGAAGAGGAAGAGGAAGAGGAAGAGGAAGAGGAAGAGGAAGAGGAAGAGGAAGAGGAAGAGGAAGAGGAAGAGGAAGAGGAAGAGGAAGAGGAAGAGGAAGAGGAAGAGGAAGAGGAAGAGGAAGAGGAAGAGGAAGAGGAAGAGGAAGAGGAAGAGGAAGAGGAAGAGGAAGAGGAAGAGGAAGAGGAAGAGGAAGAGGAAGAGGAAGAGGAAGAGGAAGAGGAAGAGGAAGAGGAAGAGGAAGAGGAAGAGGAAGAGGAAGAGGAAGAGGAAGAGGAAGAGGAAGAGGAAGAGGAAGAGGAAGAGGAAGAGGAAGAGGAAGAGGAAGAGGAAGAGGAAGAGGAAGAGGAAGAGGAAGAGGAAGAGGAAGAGGAAGAGGAAGAGGAAGAGGAAGAGGAAGAGGAAGAGGAAGAGGAAGAGGAAGAGGAAGAGGAAGAGGAAGAGGAAGAGGAAGAGGAAGAGGAAGAGGAAGAGGAAGAGGAAGAGGAAGAGGAAGAGGAAGAGGAAGAGGAAGAGGAAGAGGAAGAGGAAGAGGAAGAGGAAGAGGAAGAGGAAGAGGAAGAGGAAGAGGAAGAGGAAGAGGAAGAGGAAGAGGAAGAGGAAGAGGAAGAGGAAGAGGAAGAGGAAGAGGAAGAGGAAGAGGAAGAGGAAGAGGAAGAGGAAGAGGAAGAGGAAGAGGAAGAGGAAGAGGAAGAGGAAGAGGAAGAGGAAGAGGAAGAGGAAGAGGAAGAGGAAGAGGAAGAGGAAGAGGAAGAGGAAGAGGAAGAGGAAGAGGAAGAGGAAGAGGAAGAGGAAGAGGAAGAGGAAGAGGAAGAGGAAGAGGAAGAGGAAGAGGAAGAGGAAGAGGAAGAGGAAGAGGAAGAGGAAGAGGAAGAGGAAGAGGAGGAGGAGGAGAAGGAGGAAGAGGAAGAGGAAGAGGAAGAAGAAGAGGAAGAAGAAGAAGAAGAAGAGGAGTATGAGAGGAGGGAAGGGGGAGGAGGAAGAGTTGGGAGGGTGAGAAGAAGGGGGGGAAGAAGAGGAAGAGGGGAAGGAAGAGGAAGAGGAAGAGGAAGAGGAGGAAGGGTAAGATCAGCAATAGGAGTAGTAGCAGTAGTAGTAGTGTAGTAGGAATAGTAAAAGAGTAGTACTAAGAGCAGTAAAAGTAGGAGTAGCACCTCAGAGGGTTAAGTCAAGCTAAATAGTACCTTACTGTAGTGTAAACAAATTATAACAGTAGAGAGAATCATACTAATAGTGAAATTCTGATGCTACCAACAAGAAAAGTATAATCACAATAATAATAATAATAATAATAATAATGATAATAATAAGAACAATAATAATAGTAAAAAAAACAATGAAGAAAATAATAATAAAATCATGAAAAAAACTATATATGATGATAATGATAACCCAGGGGAAAATGACAATGGAATGACAATAATACTACTAATAATGCTGATGATCATGAATAAGGAAAAAATGGAAGTAACAAGTCACACTAAACTGTAATGCATATAACAATATGACTGATACAATGGTAAAATTTACCTTTGACTTTCTATCAGCACAATTATCAAAAATATTGCCTCTGTATGGTTCAATATATGATGAATGAATAAAATTTCATAGTTACGCAAAAAGAAAAAAAGTATATATGTGCTAGCTCTTGGACATTCCTCATTGATAACCTTCCAAATTTTCTTGTGGTTGATGACTTTGTTCTTTCAACTGAAGTTCCTCTGACGGCTCTTCCATGAGAGAAGGTAATTTAGCCGCAGGTAGAGCTGAAAATACAGTTTGTGTACTTAATACTGGCTGATAGTTTAAGGAGGTAGTAATGGGGCTGGAAGGAACTGCTTCCTTATTGTGATACATTTTGCCAAGACGAATACTGGCTTTCCCATCAAACATCCCACTGATGACTGGTGAATCCCAAAGAATATCTGTGCTCTTATATTCTAGCAAATGTTGTTGACTGACATCAGAGAAACCTGCTGCAGTGGAAGACACATGATCACTATGCTGGACTTCTGGTTCACTGTTTGGAAGGTCTACAACTGAAGGAGGATTCTTCAGCACCAAATCTTTTCTTTTTAAGTCTTTCTGCAAAGACTTTGTTTTACCATTACCTCTCTTCACACTGCTTGAAACGCCTTCATTTGTCCTGCAATCTGGAGACTTTCTTCCCCTCAAAGTATTTTGTAGAGGAACTTTTGTAGATTCTTGTTTGGACTTCTGTTTTGGTTTTGGTCTGAACATATCCCAGATACATTCTTCATCCTTCCTGGGAGTGCGATGTTCTGTAAAACTATAGTCCTCTAGATTGTGATTTCCTGTATTGTCATCTCTATTAGCATGTGCAGAAAGATGATCATCATCTTCCTGTACATCTGGTAAATTTGCCATGAAAACTGCAGAACTTCTATTAGATGTGGGCGAAGAAATGTTTTCCCTTAATGGTTCTTCTTCATCAATTTTGTTATCCTGCAAATTTACAGGTGACACTAAAAAAACGTCTTTTTCACGATTGTCTATTGCCTGTGCAGTAAGTCCAGAGTAAGGCATCTCCAAATGCTGTGGAGCAGATTCTGAGGCACCATGTAAGCCCTCTGAAGCACCTGAAAATATGGGTTTGGAAGACTCAGATGACACTTTAGGTGATGCAGTATCCCAGTACGAACCCAAGTTGGACTTGATGTGATCATTGGATTTACTTGGTGAAGACGCCCCTATGCTTATCCTAGATGAACGTCTTCGTGCTTTTCTACTGGCTCTTTGCTTCCGCTGTTCTGCCTGAGTTTCTACATCTTGCATTGAAGAAGTGAATGGTAAGTCACAATGAAGAGATAATGCTGCCATCTGGGTGGAAGGTGAAGTTGGTGATGTTCTGATAAGTTCACCGTTTTCAGAATTCAGTGTCTGCTGATCCTCTGAACTGGAATCTTTGACAAAACTCTCTGGAGAACTGCTCTCACAGTGAGCTAATGCTACTGCTGCCTGATTATGGTATAAAGAGCGCTGAATTCCCGATGCTCTTCGTTTGCCTCGCTGCCGCTTTGCTCCTCTGACTCTTGTCACTTTGGGCTTAAAATCTGTGGGACTTGGTAGGTCATCTTCACTAAAGACATTGCCAGAAACTTTTGATGCGGCTGCTAGTGCTGGTGGGTCAAATTTCAGCTCATTTCCTTTACATGTGAAATCTGGTGATTCAGTATATCTGTGAACTTCATCATCATTCTTATTAGCACTTTTACTTCCTCTCAACTTTTTCACAAGTTCTAAATTGGACACTTCGCTTCCTCTTTTTGCCAGGCCTGATGACTTCAGGGGCTTCTCCTTTGTGGTTTTCCTCCTTTTGGTTCCACATCTTAAAGTACTTGTCTCTTCTTTGACTGCATCTGTTGAAGCAACATTCATATCTGAGGCACAAGGTTCTGTGATCTGACTCGGTGCTGTCTCACTCACACTTTCTGGCATCTGATCTGTATCTGTGAACCTAGAGTCTATGGTATTTGGCAACAGCTCTTCACTCTTCCCAGACGACATGGACTGCTCTGTAGTCTCTCTGTCCACAGAAGGGAGAAGGCATCCTGACAATTTGCTGGATCGTCGCCTTGCCTTTTTCTCTCGAGACTGGGAGGTTGGTTTTGCCTTCGGAATCTCATCTAAGAATGGGATAGGGTCGTCTAGATTATACAGAGCTGCTAATACTGGGTCTGTTACTTCCCTGGTTGGGTTCTCCTCAGCAATACTCTCCTTGGGTAGGTTGAACTGAAGTGCTTGCAGGTCCTCAATCATACCTTGAAAATTTTCATCATTTGTGTCTGGTCTAATTATATTTCCTACATAAAAGCTAACAGATGAATTCATACTTAACATACTGCAGTTACTGGTATTTTGATTATTCTCATTTTGTTCGGATTCATCATCAGACAATTTTGCTAGGACTTCCTTGACATCTTGGACAGATACTGCAGAGCCCTTAGGAATCTTAACACCTTTAAGTTGCTTCATCTTCCGGGCACGGTCTTTTCTCAGGCGCACTTTCTGTTTGGTCGGGTAGTAGTGGCTTGTAAACATACACAAACGCTTTATTTTTTTCCCACTCATTACTGTGCTTGTAGATAAGTCATCACTGCTTCTCATGCTCAACTGTCTTGTCTCCTCATCTTCACTAGTTCTTCTGCTTGCACTGCCCTTCCTTTGTCCACTCTTGCGCTGCTTCTGGGGGGTCTCGTAAATAGTTTCCAGAGGCGTTGGACAAACTTCTCTATTATTTTCTTGCAAATACAGACTTTCAATATTTACTTCTGCCTTCCTTTTCTTGTGTTTAGCTCGGCCTCTGCCACTCTCCGACACTTCATTATCAGTTTCCACTTTGGAGGGCCGTGCTCGTAATCTGAAATAACAAACAATGATGCAGAATGGACAGAAAAATAAAAAATAAAAACTATTGAAATAAGCTTCTGAAAAAAGATATTTTATGTCTGAACTCAATGTGAAATTAGTTTGATTAGAGGTGTGATGTGAAATGAGCTTCTCATATATACAAGAATCATTAAAATATAAAACCTAGACCTATAAAACTTAGTATTCTATCATACAAGAATCATTAAAATATAAAACCTAGACCTATAAAACTTAGTATCCTATCAGACTATTTGTAGAAAAAAGCTATCACAGCATATCAAAGTTGCTAATAAAATGATAAATTTCCTTTGTTTAGTGACATAGAAAAATAATGAAATCAGAAAATGTGTCTCATAACTAAAAGATTCAAAACAAGATCATAAAACAGAGTTCTTATTGTCAAAATTATGATTCTGAGAACATTAATGTTTTAGGTATCTGCTAATTATAATGAAAGCCTATCTATCCTTTCAATTCTTGGAATACCAGAGAATTGCACTAACCTCCGTCCACTGGAGACTCCGTCTACGGTGGTTCCCTCCCCCTCGTCTGGGCTGTCCATCTTAGATTAAGGAAGGATAGGCCTACCTGTAAATTTAATGAAAGACATACTTAAGTGTTCAAAACCTAAAGAGAGAGAGAGAGAGAGAGAGAGAGAGAGAGAGAGAGAGAGAGAGAGAGAGAGAGAGAGAGAGAGAGAGAGTGAGAGAGAGAGAGAGAGAGAGAGAGAGAGAGAGAGAGAGAGAGAGAGAGAGAGAGAGAGAGAGAGAGAGAGAGAGAGAGAGAGAGAGAGAGAGAGAGAGAGAGAGAGAGAGAGAGAGAGAGAGAGAGAGAGAGAGAGAGAGAGAGAGAGAGAGAGAGAGAGAGAGAGAGAGAGAGAGAGAGAGAGAGAGAGAGAGAGAGAGAGAGAGAGAGAGAGAGAGAGAGAGAGAGAAGAGAGAGAGAGAAGAGAGAGAGAGAAGAGAGAGAGAGAAGAGAGAGAGAGAGAAGAGAGAGAGAAGAAGAGAGAGAGAAAGAAGAGAGAGAGAAAGAAGAGAGAGAGAGAGGAGAGAGAGAGAGAGGAGAGAGAGGAGAGAGAGGAGAGAGAGGAGAGAGAGGAGAGAGAGGAGAGAGAGGAGAGAGAGGAGAGAGAGGAGAGAGAGGAGAGAGAGGAGAGAGAGGAGAGAGAGAGAGAGAGAGAGAGAGAGAGAGAGAGAGAGAGAGAGAGAGAGAGAGAGAGAGAGAGAGAGAGAGAGAGAGAGAGAGAGAGAGAGAGAGAGAGAGAGAGAGAGGCGGACAGACAAACGGACAGAGAATATCAATACATTCAAATTTACGGTAGAAGTTTTCTTGGCACAATACCAGTACAAAACCTTGAAGATATTCTGTAGATTCTCCCTGCTCAAAATTACCAGTAAGCCCAGGCCATCCTAGTTCCTCATAAATCAACTACATCTGACTGTTAATCTTTATGAATGGATGCATTTACCTAGGGCAAATTGAAGATGATATTCTTGTAGAGGACAAAATGCTGCAGTTGTCGGTATAAGAAATAATTTACAGACAAGAATGATACCACCACAGATTAGGGAAAAACTGAGTTGAAGACAATGTTTCCTGGGAGGTATTGGGGAGCAAAACTCCTTATCATCTCTCCCCTTGGGCAGTGCCTGAAAGGTATACTCAGTCATGGCAACTTTGATTGTTGAACAGATTTTGTTATGTGGAGTTGAGGACTTGGTCCCTGGCAAGTGTTTGCGTATTGTAAAGATTTACCCATCTGACTACAGGGATATCAATTCTGGTTTGTGAGCTTGATAGGAGTTGTGAATCTGCAGTTTCAGAAAATGTTCATCTCCTCTTACTGTTGGCCTTCTTACATCCTCACTTTACAGCTCAATTTTGTGTTGTTACTGTGTTGGCTTATACTTTTGCTTCATAGTTGCATTTTGGACATTTTGTCTCCTTACATTGTTGGCCAACTTAAAAGCTGCTTCACAGTTACATAAATGAGAAATCACATTCATCTCTGAGCTGTAGCAGCATTTCATTGGTATTGTCATTTGTTTCTGTTGACTGACATAGCATTTGTTACTGGAGTACCCTAAGGTCTTATTTCATGTTCTATGGTAGTGACCCAAAGAATGGCACAGAGCTCCAATAATCTGCATATCTATTCAGTATTCCAACAAGCATTCTAATTCATGTGCTCCATGCAGTTTGATTAAATGCCTCAAGATCTCATCACTGTTCTAGCAGGAAGTTGAATAGGGTGCATTGCCCAGTAAGGTAAGGTATGGTAATGACAGGTTAAGCTTTAGCCCCCATGCTCCGTAAGGAGGGAAGAATACAATAACAAATGTCTTGTTAGGCTAATACAAATGCAAATAATTTGAACTGCATAAATCTACCATCTTGTCTCTGAAAGGTTTGCAAGTAAATTACAGTTATTTTCTCATAGTGCAAAAAAGGAAAACATAAACTAATAAACACTAATAAAATGGGGAAAATGCAATCTGCAATCCTTAACTGTCCTCCCAATGACCTTTGCTTGTTCTGGCAAGGTAGAACCTGAGCAAGTGACAAAATGAAAACAATTGTAAAACATAACACTGTATTTTCTTGATAAATTGGTAGAAAAAAAGACTTCTTGTATATCATGTTTTTCAGCAAACTATAGAGTATTTAATTATAGGTTTATTACTCTGTTAAATAATAGCAATTTTCTTAAATCTAATAGTACTTTTCATAAATTTAATTGGTTCACATTATAATACTTTTTTTTATAACATTAATCATACATTTATCAAGGTATGCTATAATCACTTCATATACTATAAGAAATCGATAGGTTGCAAGATAAGTGATCAATCAGTTTCAGTAATGTTACTATTGGTGATTGGAACTATTTCCTAGGATTTAGCTTCTCTACTTCGATACTACATACAGATCTTGATAATATATATACATTTTGTATATGTAAGCAGATGATTTTACCTCTAATATCATACACCTTGGTAAGTGTCAAGAATAGGATGTGATGCTGCCAAAGCTTTCACACGTCATACACTGGGCAGGGAAACACCTCCTCCTAGTTTAATATGGAGGATAGATCAAGGACTGCTTCCTTCTTCAATGATAAATCACCAAGCTCAATTTTGCCGGATCACAGGTTATACAATATTGGCCTCTGCCAGAGCATAAAGTGCAGAGGCCATAGCATCAGTGGAATTACCCATTGTGAGGGTATGATGGGTAATAGGGAAATTCTGGGGTAAAAGCATAATCTCAAGGCAAATTGTTTAATAACTTAGGTGTTAGGCATCAGTTTTAATTATGCCATTCTTAACTCAATAATTTGCAGCAACTGGTACAGCATATTATGTTCTGACATAAGAATACGACTCTTACATAGTTGACTCCAGATTGAGGCTTCCATGAAGCCTGTACTTCCAGCTCTTGATTTATAATTACACTATGCTGCTGAGTTCATGAGGCTGGAAGGGTAGCAGTGTAATTATATTTAATTTCAATATCCGCCCAACTTCTATCCAGTCTCCGCTTTAAGGTGTTGATGGAGTATGGCTTCGCAACTTCTGGGTGCAATATAGGAACCACAGAAGAGAAAAGAATTGCAATGACCTTCAAGTCTAGATTGATTCTGGAAAAGCTTGTAAGTGTATCCCCCTGATATTGCATCCTCTCTTCTTTCAAATATATAAGCCTTGTGATAGTCACCTCTGATAACCTTAAATAATTCTATCACGTCTCCTCTCGCCCTTCGATAAGCAAGTGTTGGCCATTCGAAAACTCTTAACCACTGTTCGTATGATAGTTATCACAGCCCTGGTACCATCTTCGTAGCCCTGTATTGGACATTTTCCACAACATGACACCCATAACACCTGTATTGGACATTTTCCACATGACACCCATTGTCAGCGGTGACTTAGAAACTCAAGGACTGTTTGTATTGTAGTTGTAAATAACAATTCAACTGATTTTCTGTCTTAACTCTCGAGCAACATTCATATTATCCCTACCGATGAATCTGCCTTGTTTACATCCTCAAGCAATGTGATTTGAGAAATTTAGCTTCGGGTTTACAATTACGCCCACGAATTCACACACACACACCCAGTATTGAAAAGCCATGTGTGGAAATATAAAAGAAATGTCACTTAATTGCTAAATTCAACACAGATCAATAATTATAAAGACAAATACAATCGCTGTAAGTAAAGAAAGTAATTAAGGTCATGCAATTAGAAAGTGAATTGCTGGACAGTTTATTATTTTGAGCTTTAACTACTATACAAAACCCTTTTATATAGATTCCAGTGTTGTCTACGTTTATTTGAGATCATAAGCTATATCTTTTAAGCAACGAAAAAGCGATCCCAAAGGCCTAACTTACCAATGTGGAAGATTGTTGTTGTTGGAATTTAAATCTTTGTTTACGTGCCTGCCATTTGTTGAGGGG